CGGGTGGGTCGCGGGGTGGGTCGCGGTTGGGTCGCGGGGTGTGTCGCGGGAGGGTCGCGGGTGGTTCACGGGTGGGTCGCGGGGTGGGTCGCGGGTGGGTCGCGGGTGGGGTCGCGGGTGGGTCGCGGTGGTATCGCGGTGGGTCGCGAGGGGTGGGACGCGGGTGGGGTCGCGGGGTGGGTCGCGGGTGGTCGCGGGTGGGACGACGACAACAAACAACAACAGAAACAGCAAACAGCAACAGCAACAGCATCAGCAACAGCAACAACGAACAACAACAACAACAGCAACAACAGCAACAACAAGCAACCACAGCAACAGCAACAACAACAACAACAACAACAAAACAACAACAGCAAACAACATCACAAACAGCATCCTCAGCAACAACAGCAACAACAGCAACAACAGCAACAACAGCAGCAGCAGCAGCAACAACAACAGAAACAGCAACAACAAAACAACACAACTACAACAACAACAACAACAACAACAGAACAGCAACAACAACAACAACAACAACAACAAAAACAACAGCAACAACGCAACAACACAACAACAGCAACAACAGCAACAACAGCAACAACAACCAACAACAACAACAACAACAACAACAACAACAATCACTTTACCCGAACGCTCAGTGTTCTCACCAGTGCCAGGGTTTTCATGCGACGCCAGCCAATACCCCCACTTTGTGGGGGGCAGTGCAAGCTCTACCAAATATCCACACGACTCTTCGCCACCACCCACACCCAGCTTCCCGCCCTATGACGTTCGGACACTTCACTTCGTGGCCTGCGGACGACCGTGGCTACTACACTGGCGTGGAGTACACACCCACAGAAGTTGTTAAGCCTACGTTCGTACACCCACAGAAGTTGTTAAGCCTTGTTAACCCACAGAAGTTGTTAAGCCTTCCACAGAACATCTGTTGCATATGATGCATATGGTACATGATACACATGATACACATGATACGTACTCACAAGATAGTTGATCACATCTTTAGGGCAAATTCCTGAGGGATGTGGGAATACACAAGAGAGAGAGGATATGGTTGTCCCGATGGTTGTCTCGATGGTTGTCCCGATGGTTGTCCTGATGGTTGTGGTTGTCCCGATCGTTGTCCCGATGATTGTCCCGATGGTTGTCCTGATGGTTGTGCTTGTCCCGATCGTTGTCCCGATGACTGTCCCGATGATTGTCCCGATGGTTGTCCCGATGGTTGTTCCGATGGTTGTCCCGATGGTTGTCCCGATGGTTGTGAGCGATGCCGGATCCTCACGCCCCCCGCCGGAGGAGGAGGAGGAGGAGGAGCAGGACAAGGAGGAAAGGAGAGAAGAGAGAGGAGGGGCGGGAACGGCGCTTGCACGCCCACCCACCGTCTTTTCCCCGCCGCGGGACGTTTTATTCTCGGCGGCCGAGGGCGCAACCTATGGCGCAACCAATAGGGGGACGTTTTATTCTCGGCGGCCGAGGGCGCAACCTATGGCGCAACCGCAAGGGATTGTGGCCCCTGGCAGGCGCGCGAACCCCGTTGCAAGAGCGTGCGAAAGTAGCTCGCGCGAGCTCATGTAACATAAATGTTGGAAAACATTGGTTTTTTTGGGATTCGGACGCGCGCGCGGGTAGAAATTTTGAAAAGTCGTGCAGGTTTTTTCGAGGACCTACGGTGCGATTCGTGTGATTTTATGATGCGCGGTGCTAAAATTCTTAAGAAGCCCAATGGTTTTTGGAGATTTCGGCGTGCGCGCGCGAAGAAAAAACGAATGTGTCCCGCATGGTATTATTTGACAGGGATGATGGCCCTGGCAGGTGCGCAACCGTTGTCGCAGAAGTTCGAAAAAGTTGCTCGCAAAAGCCCGTTTGACAGAAATGTTTAAAAAGTGTTGGGTTTCCTACGAATCCGCAAGAGCGCGCGGGATGAGATTTTGACAATTTTTTGTTGAAAAACCATTGGTTTTTTGATGTTTTTATGTTAAAATCGCTGCGAACACTAAGGTTTTGGAAGGATTTCGTCTTGCGCGCGCGAATGTCCACTTTACCTTATTTTTTGCAAGGGATTCTTGAAATTTGATTATATTAGAACAAGAAATGTCATTTTCTATTGTTTTTTGCAAGGGAAAGCGGATTACAACAAAACAACCGGATCCTGTACACACCCTCTTTTCTGAGGCTTCCTCACGAAAATGATGAAAATGTAGCTGCGGCCTAGGCGGCGCAGGGGGGGCGCGCACCAGGGGGCCCAACAATAATTATTCTTTAGAATAAATAATGTTCAACAACAACAACGCAACAAGCAGAATTCTCGCCACGAATTCCGTATTCAGCCACGCACCCAGGGACAATGAATGACCGTTCGGCCCCCTCACTCTGATGTTTATATATCACATGCATGTGCTCAACTATCAATATATGAGAGAGCGTGATGCACCGCCGGATTACTGTGGAAAATTCCCCCCCCCTCTGCCTCCGGAACCCGGGGGTCCCCCCCCCCCTGCGAAAATCACACACCCCTGCTGGACCCCCCCCCTTCCCCCCGGCAAAACCCGGCCCCTCTCTAACTCCCCCCCCCCCTCCGGAAAACCGGGTGGGGGTCACTACCGGTTCGAACACCCCCCCCTCCAGAAAACCGGTGGGAGATCACTACCGGTTCGAACCCCCTTCCCCCTCCAGAAAACCGGGGGGGTCACTACCGGTTCGAACCCCTCCCTCCCCTCCCAGGTCCCTACCACCGTCCTCACCACATTTCCCACTGCTGTCCCCAGCACCACTGTCCTCACCATCACTGTCCCCACTGTTCCCACCACCGTCCCCACTGTCCCCACCAGTGCCCCCACCACACCACTGTCGCACGGTCCCCACTGTCCCCACCGCTGTTCCCACCACGGTCCCACTCTCCCCACTTTCCCCGCGGCCCCAACCACTGTCCCACTGTCCCCACTGTCCCACTGTCCCCACTGTCCCACTGTCCCACTGTCCCCGCCGCTGTCCCATTGAGCTGTCCCACTGTTCCCACCACTGTCCCCCCTGTCCCCACCAGTCCCCACTGTACTTCTGTCCCATTGTCCCACCGCCGTCCTCGCCACCGCCCTCACCACTGTCCCCACCACCACTGTCCCCACCCCACTGTCCCCACCACATTCCCACTATCCCCACACCACTGTCCCCACCACCACTGTCCCACAGCCCCCACCACTGTCCCACTGTCCCGACTGATCCCACCATTGTCCCCGCTGTCCCCACCAGTGCCCCCACCAGTGTCTCGCTGTCCCCACTCTCCCCACCATTGTCCCACCACGGTCCCACTCTCCCCACTTTCCTCACGGTCCCCACCACTGTCCCACTGTCCCCACTGTACCCACCACTGTCCCACTGTCCCCGCCGCTGTCCCACTGTGCTGTCCCGCCGTCCCCACTGCCCCCACCACTGTCCCACTGTCCCCACTGTCCCCACCATTCTCCCCACTGTACTACTGTCCCACCACTGTCTTCATCAGCGCCTTCACCACTGTCCCCACCACTACCGTCCCCACCTCTGTCCCACTGTCCCCACCACTGTCCCGCTGTCCCCTCACCACTGTCCCCACCACCACCGTCCCCACCACTGTCCGCACCACTGTCCCACTGTCCCCGCACCAGTCCCCATCACCACCGTTCCCACCTCTGTCCCAGTATCCCCACCATTGCCCAACTGTCCCGAGGAGCGGGAATCGTTTGCCGGCGGCGAAGGGAGGGGGGGGGAAAGAGGTTCGAACCGGCAGTGACCCCCCCCTGGTTTTCGAGAGGGGGTTCGAACTGGTGGTGACCCCCCCCCTTTTCATGATGGACTGGGGAGGGGAGGTTCGAACCGTCAAGGACACCCCCCCTCGTTTTCTCGAGGAGAGGAGGGGGGGGGACAGGTAGGGAACCCCCAGTGACCCCCCCGGCTTTCCGCCAGCAGCGGTAGAACACGCTCTTCCAAATATATATATATATATATATATATATATATCGGTATACACATGTGCATTCATGCATCATACAATAATGGGATACAAAAGGAGGAAGAGGGAGGACGAGGAGGAGGAGGAGAATTGGATTGGATTGGATTGGATTGGCTTGGATTCAACACTTCAAGAAGCAAGCCTGAAACAAACCGGCAGGGGAAAACAGGATGGCACCCGAATCCCAGTAACAGACGTGCGAAATCCACGCTCCCGCCCGCCAGCCTGTGCTAGGAAGGAAGTGGACAAGAAGGAGGAAGAGGAGCAGGAGGAGGAGGAGGAGGAGACAGAGAAAGAGGAGGACGAGGAGGAGGACGACGACGAAGAGGAGAAGGAGCACAGCACAGCACAGCACTCAAGCCCATCAAGCCGTCCGAGCGTCATCTGATTCGCGTGGCTGGGGATGGGGCCCTTGAAACATTGTCCACCCCCGTTTCGACATTTCTCGGCGGCGAGCGAGGGGAGGAAGTGAGAATGAGAAGGCCTTCTCAAAAGGCGGCGGGACTTTTCAGGCGCCTTTGCGCCTTCTACAGTCGGGAGCGGCCAAGAGGAGGGTGTCCAAGAGGGGGGGGTGCAAATCATGACCGGCGGCATGTGCGCGGCCCAGCGGGGGGGCAAGGGACGTAATGAAATAAGAAGAGGCGCCATGCTATCTGGGGAAATATCATGGCCCACGCCATGATATCCACCCCCCCTAGTCATCACCCCCCTCTTTGCCGCCCCCGATACAAAGGTTTCTGTGTCTTCGGGGCACGCCTAGAAAGCTCGTCGGAAGGCAAGGGGACCTCCGAGCCTCCTGAGAAGGCCAGGCCTTCTCCTTCTCCCTGCCCCCCCAGGCTCGCCGCCAAAGGGAAGAGGGGAGGGAGGGAAGGGAGGGAAGGGAGGGAAGGAAGGGAGGGAAGGGAGGGAAGGGAGGGAGGCAAGGCAGGGAGGGAGGGGAGGGGAAGGAGGGAAGGGAGGAAGGCTCGCCGCCGAATGCCGCTTGGAAGCCAGCCCTGCTGGACGGGGCCGCCTGCGGCGCCGCCCGCGCCAGCCATCGGTGCGCTGGCCGCGGCTTGCGCGCGGGCGGGGGGCGCGCGCCGGGCAGGAGCGGCTGGAGCCCAGCCTGCAGCCCCGCGCGCGCACGCTCCGGGTGGGGGGGTACTCCCGGGCCCTGCTCCGCATCCTCGTCCTTCTCCTCTTCCGCATTCCTCCTCCGCCCACCCCCCCCTCGCAAGTTTCCTCCTCGCGCTCCGCTCTCCCCATCTCGCCATGTCCCTGCACCTCGCGAGCCTGGCCAGGAGCGGCTGGGCGCTGCAGCAGGCGTCGTCAGGCGGAGCCAGGACGAGGGCGACTTCGGGCGAGGGTCGGGCGGAGACAGCCCCGAGATGCGGCGGGCCCGGAGGAGGTCCCTCTATGGAGGAGGGCTCGCGAGGCAGCAGGAGACTGGGCGCTGGGGGGCCGATGTGCGGCCCCCGCCCCGAGCCCGTCCCACCCTATCTCGCTGCCCCTGGCCCTGGAGAAGCCAACAAAAGGCACCCATGCCGCTGCTCCCCGGGACCTCTCCCGAGGCGCGCCCTGCCCAGGCCTTCGAGGCGAAGCCGGCGGCGGCGGCGGGAGCCTCCCAGGAGCCCCAAAAAGGGGGACACGAGGGACGGGCAGCTGGGCATCGCTCGGACGTCCCTTCCCTGTGTTTTTGTTCGGTGTCGTGCGTGGCTTTTTCGCCCAATGATCGGGGATGCTCCTCGAGGGTCCTCGCCGAAGGAAAACTGCACACGTCCGAGCGATGCCAAGAGAAGGGGGAAGCGAGGGACGGGCAGCGGCATGGGCACCTCACGCTTTCCTCCTCCGAGACCATGCTGCCGCGGGCCGCGGCCCGGCTCCCGCCGCCCTGCCGACACGGCCGGCGCCACGGCGGGGCACAGGCTCGCAGACAGCAGCGCAGACAGGGATGGCGAGGTCTAATCGGAATCCCGGTAGGACGTCACTCCGCTGGGCCCCCCCCAGCAGCCCTCGAAAACAGCGATAGGGGGCCACATGCGAACCATACCCCTACCCCCCACGACTTCTGAGGGGGGGGGGGGGTCACTTCGTTCGGGAGCTCCCGAGCGAAGTGAACCCCACCCTCCCCCCTCAGAAATCGTGGGGGGTAGGGGTAGGGTTCGCATGTGGCCCCCTAAGCGACCTTCTCGCAGATCGCAGCCCCCTAGTGATGGCGAGGTCTCCTCTGAATCCGGGCAGGACGTCGCTCCGCGGACCCCCCTGGAAGCCCTCGAAAGCAGCGACAGTTTCGCTGATCGCAGTCCCCAGGGATGGCGAGGTAGGAGGCAAGCTGGCACGCAGGAAGAAGCGAGGTGAGAGGCAGGAGAGAACAGGAGAGGAGGCGGGAAGGAAGGAAGGAAGGAAGGTGTGCGACCGCAGTGCTCTACGAGTACCCAGCGCAGGAGGGTTGGGAATCATTTCTAACCATCCTGTAGTGTTGGGCCCTCGTTTTGAAGAGACAGCGCCCCGCGTTCCTTTCATTTCCTTCTCCTCCTCCTCTTCCTCCTCCTCCTCCTGCGCCTCCTCCTCCTCCTCCTCCGCCTCCTCCTCCACCTCCGCCCCCTCCTACTCCTCTTCCTCCTCCTCCTCCTCCTCCTCCTCCTCCTCCTCCTCCTCCTCCTCCTCCTCCTCCTCCTACTCCTCCTCCATTCCTTTTCCGTATAAATAATTTATCCCTGTCGCACCCCGAGGCCAGTTTCGCCTGAGACTTCCTCACCATGTATGATTCGGAAGCTTAGAAATCGGCAACAGCGTCACAGATGGAGGGCGGGTCGTTCAGAACGTGGCTCTCGACTTAGCGCCGCGCACATTCGTTTCAAACATTTGCAAGAGTTTCACGGATTGAGGGCGGCACCTTGTCAAAATGTGGCTCTCGCCTAGTGCGGCGCAGATCCGTTTTAAAAATTGCAAGAGTTTCACGGATTGAGGGCGGGTCGTTTTCAAAATATGGCTCTCGCCTCAGCGCGGCGCACATTCGGTTTACCAGATTTTCACAGATTGAGGGCGAGTGGTTTTCAAAATGTGGCTATCGCATTAGCGCGGCGTACAATCGTTTCGAACAATTGCAAGAGTTTCACGGATTGAGGACGGCTCCTTGTCAAAATGTGGCTCGGCGAACATTCGTTTAAAACATTGCAAGAGATTCACGGATTTACATCATCAACGTACCAGAAAATCTGTCTTGGAAGGATTCTGGATTCTGCGGGTGCTACATTACGTTCCTTCTCTGTGATGAAGTCCTGGCGGGGGCACGATTCAAAATCGTCAAGACGCAACAATCAGATTGATCCGTGGCGTTGGAATCCCGAGAACAATGGTTTAGCATGCTTCAGGGTCTTCAAACGGGCGTCTTCAAACGAGGCAGTTCCATCAATGGAAATGAACCGTTGTAGGGACCTGTGAAGAGGGAGCTTGGAGGGAGGGTTTACTCCAACATCGTTGATGACTCTTGGGTGTACACTGGTCCTCCTCCTCCGCCTCCTCCTTCTCCTCCTCCTCCTCCTCCTCCTCCTCCTCCTCCTCCTCCTCCTCCTCCCCCCTCCCTCATCCCATGCCTTGCTCTGCTCTCAGTGTGTCCACTATTTCGGCACACCCCTCTCACGGTGTGTGGCCCCATAGGGAGCTCCACCGAAGGCCCCGATGGCACAGGCCGCATGCGCCCAACGCCCCCCTTTTGGCACGCCCCTCACACGGTTCGTTACCCCATAGAAAGCCCCCACCTCAAGCCCCAGTGGCGCAGACCGCATGCGCACTCGAAACACCCCTAATCCACGATTCAACGAAACCGAAATCTCGATTTCGGTGTTTCTTTGTTTGTAGATGGAATCACCGAAATCGCGATTTGGGTGATTCTCTCCCTGGACAGAGAGAAACACCCAAATCGCGATTTCGGTGTGTCTCTACCTGGGAAACAAAAACACCGAAATCGCGATTTCGGTGAACCGCCAAAAGGCTTCTGGCTTCTCCGACGCCGGCGGAAGATATCTTGAGGGCCTCTCTGGCACGACTTGGAGCCTCTTCGGCAGTATTTGGGCTCTCTTGGGGCCGTCTTGGGAGCCTCTTGGGCCGTCCTGGGGCAGTCTTGGAGGCTTCTTGGGCGCCCTTGGGGCGATCATGAGGGCTTCTTGGGCCGTCTTGAGCCGTCGGAAAGCCGAAAAGGAGCAAACCCCCAAATCCTTCAAAAACCTATGGAAAAACAATGAATTTGGCATCTGTGGGCCTTCCTGGAGGTGCTCTTGGAGGCTCTCTTGGCCCAGTGAATTTGACCTCTTGGGGCTCTCTTTGGGGGCCTCTTGGGGCTCTCTTGGCACGGTTTGACAGCCTCTTGGGGGCGTGTCGGGCGGTCTTGAGCCATCTTGAGGCCATCTTGGGCAGTCTTGTGTGCATCTTGGGCCGTCTTCGAGAAATCTGGGAGCCATCTTGGGCTCTGTTGGGGCAATCTTGGCCGTCTTGGAGGCCATCTTGGGCGTCT